TTTTATTTTTAGAATTCAAACACATTAAATAAAACTGTTTAACAATATTCTTCCTTGATAATCTAGAGACCTGCTTCAATAGAAATCAAAGGAAACTCATGTACTTGGTGTAAGAGCCCAGTTTGGTGTGCTTTCATCTGCAGACGAGAAGAGAGTAACTGAACTCTGGGTAAACGTTCCCCACTCTCTGTCCACTATGTCCTAGAGATCTCAGCTGATAGAGATAAATTCACCAGAGACCAAAAGCTCTGCATGATTCTGGAAATAGCTTCCCCCATACCACTCTAAGACTCAAAGTCTCTCCACCACTTCCTGCTAGAAGACTTTCATAATTTTATCACATTCTTTATTCCTATGTCAGTCAGCATAAGCAGCTCAGGTTACTCTCATCACTTAGAATTTAATTTTAATGCATTACATTGTGTAACCACATCTTTCACTTCTCCCATCTTCTGGAAATATTTCACTGTGTCATCTGGCATTCACAATAAATCATTATCAAAATGCACTCAGCATTGTTTTCTAAAGGTTTCATCCACTTTGTCACTCTTAGTGAAATCCAATTGTTGACTGAGCAAACTAGTTCTACTGTAGTCCTTTTAAGAGGCTGGCTGTTTATCTCTCGCACATATATTATACCAATAAACCAAGAAACGATGCATTTTCAATCACTGTACTTCTCTTTTTTTTTTCCCCCAAAGCCCTGAATTTCTTTGAGGATTCTGCCATCAGACTATATATACGTAATGGAATACAATATAATAGAGAATATAATAGATTTGGTATCATTTTGAAAGTCACTTTTCACCTATATCTTAACAGACCTGGTTATTTCTTGAGCATACCCTAAAGAAATAAGGGAAAATTAAAAAAAAAATAGTAGAAAAAGAACATAATATATGCAAATGTAAAATTTGTCTTCTCTGGAAAAATAAAGTAACAAAATACTATGAAGTTTATTTGTCAGCAGATTATTCAGTATAGCTCTCCACTACTCACATTTCATCACTATGAGGTGGACATTTTCAACAAAAGGAGATTGTGAAATATCAAAAAAGGAGTTTCGTACTACATGATTTAAAAATTCATAAAATTAAATAATAGTGTGACTTTTAAATTTTAAAAAATATAATATAAACAACTTGGGGGCATATAAATAGAACAAGAACAACAACCAAAACTCTTCCCATAATTATATAAAGTTCATTTGAACAAGTATGGAGGACCTATAATGACATGACAATACTATAACTCTAAAACACCAGAAGCACTTTTGCTTGCTCACAAAATGTACAGATATAAAAGTCAATATATATCAGATCAGTCATTTTTCTGAAACAAACTATATTTAACTATTCAAACACCACTTGTTAGCATTTTATTTGATCCAATGTTCACTCTCCCCTTTTTTTGTAAAATATGTCTGACAACTCCACCAGAAAATATGTAGATACTAGCTACCTTGTTCAGTACCCCAATGTGTATAACACGATACGTGAACGCTAGGTTGCGATTCAATGGACTATTTATTTTATGTATTAATAATGCATGTTTCAATTTATTTTAATAATTGAGATAAATATATAGTTAAAATTTTAATGTTAATAAGAAATACAATTCTATGTAAATTGACTTTATCTCAATTTATAGTGTAACATAAATCCTTCTTTTTAGAGAAACTTTTCACAAATATTGTTTTAGTGACTACAAACACATGAATGAATCATTTCCCTATTATTAAAAAATTCTTACCTTTGGGAGGCAGAACAAGAAGGCAGAATAGAAGGCTCCACCAATCATCTCCTCCATAAAGACATCAATTTAACAACTATCCAAACAAACAAACAAACAAACAAAAGCACCTTCATAAGAATCAAACATCAGATGAGCACTCAGTGCCTTGCTTTAACTTTGTATCACTGAAAGAGGCACTGAAAAGGTAGAAGGAACAGTTTTGAATCACCAACATCACTCCTCCTCTACCCTCAGCAGCAGCAGCAGGTTGTCAAGAGCATTTATGAGTGCTGGGGAAGGGAGACCACAGTAATTGTAAGGCATTCAACTCAGTGGTATCCTGTTATAGCAGAGAGCAAAACCACACCAAACTCGGTTGACTTCTGGCCATGGAGGGAGCCTTTAAATAGCCTGAGCCAGAGGGATATGTCTGATCCCAGCTGTCGAAACTCGAATTACCACAAGCCTTGCCACTGTGGACTAAAGTGTTCTGGGGCTCCAAATAAACTGGAAAGGCAACCTAAAACAAGCAGTGCAACTTTTCGGTGAGTCCTAGTGATGAACTGGGCCCAGAGCTAGTAGACTGCTGGGCCACATGACCTACTGAGACACAAGTTGAGGCAATTAAGCTTCAAAAGACACCTCTCCTTTCCACTAAGGAGAGAAGAGGGAAGAGTGGAAAGGACTCTGTCTTGCATCTTGGATAGCAGCTCAGTCACAGCAGAGTAGGGCATCTGTCAGAGTTATCAGGCACCTGTTCTAGGCTCTAGCTCCAAGACAACATTTCTAGACACCTTGCACCAGAAAAGAACCGATTGTCTTGAAAGGAGGAACTCAGTACTAGCAGCCTTCATTACCTACTAATTGAATACCCCGTGGTTATTGCATAACCAGTAGCAATACCCAGGTTATACAACAAAAAGCTTGGGTGAGACTCATGGCTTGCTGGCTTCAAGTGAGACTCAGAACATTCCAAACTGTGGTGGCTATTAGGGCAAAACTCCTTCAGCCTGAGAAAAGTGGAGGGAAAAGTAAAGGGGACTTTGTCTTGCACCTTAGTACCAGCTCAGCCACAGTGGTGTAGGGAACCAAGTGGTCTCTTGGGGTTGCTGATTCCAAAACTGGGCTCTTGCACAGCATTTCTGGACCAGAGGGGAGTCCACTATGCTGAACGGTGAATCTCAGGACTGGCAAGATTCACCGCAAGCTGACTAAAGAGCCCAGGGACCTTAAGGTAACATCGGCAGTAGTCTGGCAGTAATCACCATGGGTCTGCAGTGACAGTGGCAATGAGGTTAGGCTCAACGTTCTTTGGAATGGGGAGGAAAGAATAGGAAGGACTGTGTCTTGTGGTTTCAGCTCAGCCACAGTACATCAGAACACCAGAAAGACTTCTTTGGTTTTTGACTCTAGTTTGTGGCTTCCAGTGTACCTGTCTGGGGACTGGGATAACACAGTGCCCTGAATGGAAGGACACAGGCTAGCTGGCTTTGTCACCTGTTGATTGTAAAGCCCCAGGGTCTTGAGAGAAAATGCAATAGCCAGGAGTTACAGCCGGTCTTGGGCAAGAACAAGTGCTGTTCCAGTTTCAGGTATGACCCAGCATAGTCCTGGGTCAGCTGAGGGGTGCTTGTGTCACTCCACCCCACTTCAGGTGGTTCAGAACACACACACACACACACACACACACACACACACAGAGAGAGAGAGAGAGAGAGAGAGAGAGAGAGAGAGAGAGAGAGAGACCCCATTTTTTTTGAAAGAAAAAGAAGAGAAGAGGTCAAGAGTCTAAGAGTCTCTGTATGGTGATCTGCAGAATTCTTTCAGATCTTGTCCAAAACCATCAAGGCAGTATCTTTATGAGTCTCTAAGAACCACAGCATTACTGGGCTTGGGGTCCCCCTTAAAGCTTAGATCACAACATCCAAGACCTTTTGAATACCTGAAAATCTTTCCCAAGAAGGACAGATACAAACAAACGCAGGCTGCGAAAACTATAATAAATACCTAACACTTCAATGCCTAGACACAGACAGCCATCTACAAGTATTAGGACAATCCAGGAAAATATGACCTCACCAAACAAACTAAATCAGGCACAAGAAAACAATCTTGGAAAAACAGATATGTCACCTTTCAGACAGAGAATTCAAAATAGCTTTGCTGAGGAAATGCAAAGAAATTCAAGATATCACAGAGAAGGCATTCAGAATTCTATCAGATAAATTTAATAAAGAGATTGAAATAAAAGAATCAAGCAGAAATTCTGGACCTGAAAAATGCAATTGGCATACTGAAGAACACATCGGAGTCTTTTGATAGCAGAATTGATCAAACAGAAGAAAGAAGTAATAAGCTTAAAGTCACGCTATTGAAAAATATGTGGTCAGAGGGGACAAAATTAGAATTAAAAAGAATGAAGCATGCCTACCAAATCTAGAAAATAGCCTCAAAAAGGCAAATCTAAGACTTAACTGGTCTTAAAAAGGAAACAAAGAAAAAGATAGGGGTAGAAAGATTATTTAAAAGGATAATATCAGAAAACTTCACAAACCTAAAGAAAGATAGCAATATCCAAGCACAGGAAGGTTATACAACACCAAGGAGATTTTACACAAAGAAGACTATCTCAAGGCCATTAATAATCAAACTCCCAAAGATCAGGGATAAACGATGCTAAAATCAGCAAGAGAAAGTAAGCAAATAACAAACAATGGAGTTCCAATACATCTGGCAGCAGATTTTTCATTGGAAACCTTATAGGCCAAGAGAGAATGTCATGACATATTTAAACTGCTAAAGAAAAAAAAAATCTTTTAACCCAGAATAGTATATCCAGTGAAAATACGCTTTAAACTTAAAGGAGATATAGACTTTCCCAGACAAACAATAGCAGAAGTATTTCTTTAACACCAGATCTGTCCTAGAATAGATGCTAAAGCAAGCACTTTGGTAAGAAAGAAAAGAACATTAATGGGTAATAAGTAATCACCAAAGATAAAAAACTCACTTGTAATAGTAATTACACAGAAAAACAGAATATTGTGACACTGTAACTGTGGTGTGTAAACTACTCTTTAGTGGAAAGACTAAACACTGAAAAAATAAAGAATAATAATTGCAAACTTTTCAAGACATAGTGCAATAAGTTATAATGGGAAATAACAAAATGTTAAAAAGCAGAGACATAGTTCAGATGTAGAGTTTTTATTTCATTTCTTTTTGCCTGTTAGTTGGTTTATGCAAACAGTGTTAAGTTGTTATCAGTTTAAGATAATGTGTTATAAAGTAGTACTTGCAAGCCTCATGGTAACCTCAAACTAAAAAACATACAAGAGATACACAAAAAATAAAAAGCCAAAAACTAAATCATATTACTAGACAGAATCTTCAATAAAAGGAAGACAGGAAGGAAAAAAAGGAGGATAAGATGACAAAACACTCAGAAAACAAGTAATAAACTGGAAGGAGTAAGTCCTTAGTTATCAATAATTCCATTGCATCTAAATGGACTAAACTCTCCAATCAAAAGACACAGAGTGGCGAAACATGGGGTACTAGGGGGAAAAGAGCCATTGATCTGCTGCCTACAAGAAATGCGATTCATCTATAAAGACAATCATAGACTAAAAATAAAGGTATAAAGCTATTCCATGACAATAGAAACTAAAAAAGAGTAGGAGTAGCTATATTTATTTCGATAAAATAGATTCAAGGCAAAAACTACAAAAGAAGGAAAAAAAGGTTACTATATAATAATGAAGTGGTCAATTCAGCAAGAGGATATAACAGTTTTAACAATATAGAGTTACACTCCAATACAATAATAGCTGGAGGTTTCAACATCCCACTTTCAGCACTGAACAGATCTTCCAGAAAGAAACTCAAAAAAGAAACTTCAAATTTAATCTGCACTTTAGACAAAATGGAGGCAACAGATATTTACAAAACATTTAATCCAATGGTTGCAGAATATACATTATTTTCCTCAGTGCATGGCTCATTCTCAAGGATAAATCACATGCTACGTCACAGAACAGCTTAAAACAGGCAAAAAAGTTGAAATAATATCTAACATCTTCTCTGACCAAAACTGAATAAAACTAAAAATAAATAACAAGAATTCTGAAAACTATACAAACATGGGGAAATTAAACAATATGCTCCAGAATGATGAGTGGGTTAGTGAAGAAATTGAGAAGGAAATTGGAAATTTTCCTGAAACAAATGACAATGGAAACACAATATATAAAAATCTATGGAATATAGCCAAAGTAGTATTAAGAGGGAAGTTTATAGCCCGAAGTGACTCCATCAATAAAGAAGAAAAGCTTCAAATAAACAACCTAATGATACATCTTAAAAATTAGGAAAGCAAGAGCAACCCAAAATTAGTAGAAGAAAAGAAATAATGAAGACAAAACATCCAAATCAATGAAATCAGACACAAAAAAAGGAGATTGTACAACTGATACCACAGACATTCAAAGGATCATTAGTGGCTACTATGATTAGAGCAACTATATGGCAATAAATTGGAAAAATCTAGAATAAATGGACAAATTCCTAGAAACATATAATGTAACAAGATTGAACCAAGAAGATGATTCAAAACATGAACAAATCAATAACAAATATCAAGATCATCAAACAAAGCTGTAATAAAAAGTCTCACAGTAAAGAAAAGCCTGGGACCTGATGGTTTCACTGCTCAAGTCTACCAAACATTTAAAGGACTAATACCAATACTACCCAAAGTATTCCAAAAAATAGAGGAGGAGGGAATACTTCCAAACTCATTCTATAAGGCCAGTATTACCTTGACTCTAAAACCAGACAAAGGCACATCTGAAAAAAAGAAAACTATAAGCCAATATCACTAATGAATATTAATGTAAAAATCCTTAAAAAAGTACTAGTGAACTAAATTCAACGATACATTAAAAAGATCATTCATCATGAATCCCCAGTGGGATTTTATCTCTGGGATGAAAGAATCGTTCAACATATGCAAATCAATCAGTGTGCTATAACATACAAACAGATCAAAGGATTAAAAACCACATGATCATTTCAATAGACACTAAAAAAGCA